GACGAGATTTCAGTTGTTGCAACTACACAACGAGTTGACTACATCACTCAAAATTTGTTCAAAACTGCCTTACACTGTCGCCCTTGATCATGACAAGTTGTATGGACTTCCTACGAAGGTTCCTTTGTGATGGTGCAGCCTCTGCAACGCCGTTGAAATTCGTCCGCTATGGATGTGGCATTCAGCCGATACTATCTCTGACATTTATAATGCCCCATCTAGGTCGTTTTCCGGTCTGACAGCCTCACTTATGGTATGGGGGTAGGGCTAGATTCATCTGAGGGGAATATCCCAGAAGCTACAATTTTTCATGAACTGTGTCTCCATCGAAAACCACAAGAATTTCAGTGCTGATAAATCGCATTCAACGCTGTGCCACAAATCGGCTTTCGCTAAAGGCTTTGGTTCCTCCTGAATGGGTATTTGTCCTCTACAGTGAACGCCTAGCAGACACCGAACAAGACAACCGGTGTCGGACTGATGAAAATCTGAATGGCTTTAGAATATTCGATATTTGCTAACCAGGTACATATGTATGATATAATGAAGCCCCTGTCATAACTTCAAATACTACGTAGTGAGTAAATCAATAGTACAGTAGAAAATGGCCACGGGACCTAACGACACACTCTCTTAAAGTATTTTCCAGACAAAAGGAAACATAATTTAAAAACAATAGAAAGAATAAACATTGAGGAAAAGACTGACCTGCTTAGCTGCATGCAACGAAAGAATCCTATGGTATTTACCTTGTGCAACAACGAAACTTTTACTACGATGTAAAAATGTAAGACAGCAATGTCAACAGGATTTGAATGCGGGATTATTCTGATGAAAGTTGACAGAAGCGACTCAAATCCGACCCGTAGACATGGTCCGACTTCTTTACCTCGGACTGCGGCAGAAACTGGTATGGGCGGGGAGGTAGACAGACTCATATTCGATGGTATTAAGTACAGAGAGGATGGAATTAGAGCGACGACAAATACATTTCCGTTGATTGCTGTTCCAAAGTGCATAGAACAAATCTTTTTCGAATCCATTAAGCAGTTACAGGGAGTATCGAACGGTTGAGAAGGGTCTGACGTACGTAACCGCTGCGATCAGCCGCTGCAACCAATTTCATTCAAGCTAAAGTCGTTGAGGACCACCGTCATTAGGTCTGATTTCAAAGAATTGATAAAGGGGATGCGAACCTCCTACGCTTGACTCGCTCTCCACCATTTCCACTGTCTAAAAACGCAAGCCACAGTCCACTTGGCTGTGTTGGGCACTTCACAAAAGTTCACGCTCCTATCAGAGGACCTTCAAAGGACATGAGCGAGACCTCAAGATACACGCATGACTTGCAGTGTATGCATACCCTTGTGCACCTATCCTGCACTCTAGCATTTTTCCTTCTCTGAAAACTTTACCCTCAGTTCTCGTGGTCGTGATTGACTTCTGTAGAAGGCGCACGATTCTTCGGAGGGTCAAAAATAGGACCTAACGATTCACACGATCCAAAACCAAACGGGATTCCAGTAACAGTTGAACCAAAATGTCAACAACTGCTTTACCGCGGTCTGGTTTATTTACACAGTGCTCACAAAAAAAAGTTTTTTTGACGTCTTCTTGGAAAATGGCTCCCGTATGATCACTTTTCATGCTCTTCCTTCAACACAGGTCTTTCCCATCTGATTATCGCTTTGGGGAAATTTGCTTTCTTGAAGCCCTTGTTTTGACTGGAAATCTTTTTGTCAGTAATGATAAAAAACCGTTACGTTACCAGTAACAGTTCCATTTACACTTCATGGTCATTAGCTGGAACCGTAAAAGTCGAAATAACTGCAGTTAAAGTCTGCACGGGTGATAGAATGATGGAAATGAATGAGTAAAGTCGCAAAAAAGAGTGAATCGTCGAGAGTAACCAACAAGTTTTGAAATAGAAAGAAGCCAAAACCGGAAAGGAGTTAGTCGTAGTCCTGGCTGATATTATTCAATCGATACAGATCAATAACATATTGAAGTCCTAGCGTTGAGCTTTTTAAGAAAACAAAACCATGTGTAGCAGTTAAGAAAGGCAAAGATGGAAGCCATGGTGACAGAAATTAGCAGATAAAGGGCTCAGTCTCGGACGGGAATCTAACCCAAGTATGTGCTTCCCAATCACAGGGATCTTCATTCCTTACATCACTGGGACCTGTTGTACACTGCGGTAAAGAACAAACAGGTAAGTTTGACATAGTGGGTATGTGATGGCTGCAGAGGTACTAAGCTAGGTCAGCGTGGCTGAGGCTGTCAGATACAGCAAAGATGGGCCCCCTACATCAGAATTCCCACTTGCTTGGAGGAAACATCAAGAAAGAAGTAAAGTAAGAAACTCCAGACGCCTACACTTGGAAGATGTTGGTAGAAGTCTCACAAGGTTGGCAGGTTATGGGCAAAGCTTTGGCCTCAGGCGGGACTCGAACCCGTGTTTGTGAAGTACATGACTCGCCAACCTCGTAAGACTTTCGGATCGCGTACTGCGGCGAAGAAGCTGCAGTTAACGAAACGTCAAGTCAAGAAAAGTATCAGCAGTTGTGGGAAATGCTAAGGAAAATGTCAGTAAATGAGGGAATTCAATAAGAAAATGAGGCCAGGTGATCGTCGGCAACTCAACATGATGTTGACTGAACCAGTTAGGGAAAGTCATTAGTTGTCTGGTAAGATTTAAACGCTTTTGATAGGCTAAAAAGCTGTTCTCTATCTGGGATGCCCATCTCTTACTGCAATCAATCACTTTTAAGTTACCAAAAAAATGTTCAAATGCAAATAGTTCTTCAAATGAAAGCCATGCTGATAAAGCAAATTGAGTGGTGAACGGCTAAGGAAACTCTTCCTTATCTAAAAATCAGGGTACATACTCAGGACTACAGAAGGTGGCTGCCATTACAGGGCGCACTACATCCCTAAACGATCGCCTCCGTCGCTCAGTGAATGTGGCGTGAGATAGCAACGAGGGTAAGGTTAAAATAAAATTAATGGCTGAAGTTGGAACTGTTCCGTCCCGTTGGTGAGTCACCATTATTTTTTGGTGAAGAACACCGGGAATGTAGTGTGCCCAACAACTTCAAGTGGAAGTAATGGTTATCGGAAGCTGACTGAAGAAGTCACCAAAACGGACACCCTAAAAATATTCTCAAATTGGGAAATGATTTCGGAGGATGTCGTGTACGAGAAGGTAACACAGTTGCAGCCTCAACTAGATGGAAACGAAAGAGAGCAGAGACGTTCAATGACGGAATTTGCAGCTTTGCTAGCTACGCTGAGCAGGAACTATTAGAAGGCCTAGCAAGCTCGCATAGGTGCAGTTAGTTCAAATCCTTACTGCGCCCTTTCTGAAGTATGATAGTTTTCATTGCTAATATGCCGTCTACCGTTTATAGGAATCCGTAAGACCAGAGCTACCGATGTATCAAACGTACCGTAGGACGGAGAGCGGCTTGATGGTGATTTCTCGATTTTCACGAAAGCACTGAACAAAAGGAAATGGCACGACGCGACCCTAGTGCAGGTAGGGTCTACTAGACTGGCTAGCTCTCTGCATGGGCGAACAGGGACGTCATCGTTGTCGTTTTCAAGAAATCGATTATAATGTGGACGACAGATGATACAGAAAATCGATTCGGTAGGAGTAACTGGAATTACTCCAGAGGATGCTATACCGGCCTCAACCAATTATTACAAAACATGATTTCGGAGACGCTTAGTTGAGTAGGACAGTTAACTTGCTGATCCCTCCATCTAGAGGTTCGATTTAGGTGCTAGGTATCGTCAAGCTTCCGAGGCCGTGTTTACAAGTAAGGACTTAGCTGGTAATGAACCCCTCTGCCTTGACTCATGTGATGTTGGGATGCAAATGCATGACGCACTTTGAATCGGCTGTTTACGCCGAATCAATAGAGGTATTAGTCACGAAAAAATATTTCCGTCATAAGCTTATCATTGCAGGCCCTGTTAAAATCCGGTCAGTGCCGTGAGAATTACATGGCAAAAGACTAATTGTGGCTCTTACTTATACTCCCTTGTAAAATTTTTCACTTCGTTTTCGTCGCCAAGTGCGCCCAGATGGACAGTTCAGCCAGTTGAACATGATAAATCCACTTCGGTCATGCAGAAAACTGATAAGATCGAGGGAAATTAAAAGGCGAGATAACGGTGAAAAAGACATATAGTGAACAAATTTCTCATGAAAAGAGATGAAATTCACATTTCGAACCGGTAGTAATAGCAATGATGTGACTGTTTGATGACTAGCTACAATAGCATCGAGAAAAATATCAACGATACTATGAGTCAGACTTGAATCTCATCAAATTCGCTGCGTTCCTTCTTTGCAGATGGAAATTTATACTTAATGCAACCATTCAATTCAACCTTCAACATATCCTCAACTGATGGTTTGTGTGTTGACAGATTGCAGATGAGTTTATACAACAACGAAGACTATAAATCGAAATCCATTCTTCATTTGGGCCATGATTGAAATGATAAATTATTGGTTATCAGACAGTCTGGTCATCGGATGTGCCATGGGCGGAGGTTCATTTGAATTCATAGCGTTTTTGACTGTGAATTTTGCCTGTACACCCATCGACTTGTAGAGGCATATTCGGTAAGGCTGTTCATGGATATCAGACGTGATAATAAAGAATTTCGTCTCACAACGAGATTCCCTGCGCTCAAAGAAGTCTCGTGAAAGGAAGAGGGTCTGGTTTAAAAGTGAAAAATATAGTCATACATTCAATTTTACCAGACATAATGCATTCGTGAAATAGCGTTGAAAATTTAAATTTCTCCTGTATGTAACAAATTCTACATAATGAACGGTAACTGCCTTTCGAGTTATTTTGTTCTTGTCGGATAAGTGCTTGACTAGCCGAGTTACAATAAACCTGTTTATTCAGCAGTACAAAAGACAGAACAAAAGCGTTGTGCCTTTCCTTCCCTTTCCTCCTCTCACCCATTTTGAGTAATCATTTGTGCTTTTTGTAGAGGCAGACGGAAGATACGAAGTCGTATGTTGGCGAAGTCGTATTGAAAACGCCATTACAACCGAATCGTGCTCCGGATTTGAAACGTTTGAACTTAAAGCACTTCACACTTGATATACTGTGGAAAAAAGCTCATTAGAATGTCCTATAAGCAGAACTTTTTAGGGAAGTCATTGCTTGCTGCTAATTACCTGTTCATCTTGGTAAATTTAATTGTAGAAACTTTGATATATTAACTCATTGCTCGCCCAGCTGATACCTTTGCTGATATACCTCCTAACACACTTCTTCATTTAAACTAAGAGGGTCCATAGTATATTGAAGAAGAAGTGTATGGTGGAAGTGAAGATGGAGTGAAGAAGGAAGATATGGCCACAGTTATCTCCAGAAAAATAGCGAACTAAGAAATCTAAATCATTCTCTGCGATGTATCAAATAATTAGCAGGATCTCTACACTATACCTCAATGCTAAAGGTCATGCCATCGCTACAAAAGTTAGAAATGATTAGTAAACACTTCCTATAAATATATTTAGCCCACCTCATCATGTCTGTCTTTAATTTTTTGTTCCAAAGTTTTTTTTACTTTTACGTCCATTGATGAACCATCGTTCTTATCAAAGTACCTAAAATATAAAGTCATTACAACTTCTGTAGAAATTCTCAATAAATTCTACAAAGATGCTTATACAAACTCTTTTCCTTTGACAAATTTGTCGGCTTCTCCTTTGTGATCCTTTACATCCACTGGATTTTTTGCCAATTCCAGTGCTTCACTCGCCAAACTTTCGTCCCACGTCTAGGTATGGATTTCGATGAATTCAATGAATACTTATCATTCAGTTGAAGCTGTTTATAAAACTGACAACATTGTATTTACTGTTCAGTTCCTTGTAAGCTTCAGTGGCGTTCACAGTTATCCAACCTAAAAACACTTCTTAGGAGTTACATTAAAGCGTCAACAAAAAAGTCTGAGCAAGACAGACACAGTTAATGATTTGCGATTATATTTCTAGAACTAATAATTGGTACTTACGCTCCTCGGCGTCATTAACAGTGAAAATTGCTGATATTAAGAGTAGAAAGAACATATCGAATGGGATGGAATCACTACGGCGACTCCCCTTTTAATAGCCGGAAACGATGACCTTTAGCTGATCATAGAAAAGCAAATCCAACATTGCAACAGCTTTTGTTTAAACAATTCATTTTGGGAGACAGTTCTCCTTCTCTGGTTTGCTCTTTTTTTTAGCGATATTGTCAAAAACCACGCTCAACCGCGCGGTGCTCTGTGATTTTGAAATACACGCTGTCTGAATCGAAGAAAAAGAGAGGATTTGAATCAGTTTTGCTTGTGCTCACTTCCGGAGCAAATCGAAGAGTGGTGATTTGTTTGGTGTCTGTTGGAGACCCCTAACGGTGCAGAACGATAGACAGCGGAAATATATATCAATTCCAGTAATTGGTTAATAACATTTTGGGAAAGATATGTTGCTAGGTTGGTCGAGATGCTGTAAAACTGTTCACTCATCAATACAAAATACAAAAAAGGCGTCACCGAGTAATCAGTAGGCTCTTTCGTAGAGGCAGACGGAGGACACGATGTCGTAATTCTTCGGAGTCGTAGTGAGAACGCCATTGCATCCAAAAGGTGTTCTCGGTGGGAGACGTTCCAACTAAAACACTTCTCTCATTCATTCTAAAAACAACCCCGTTGAAATCTTCAAAACCAAAAACTAGCAAAGAAGCTTCTTCAGTTATGAGTTAACGTAAACGTTCCAGCGCACGTGTATAAATAAGGGATGACAGTAGTCTATCCACCTTGGCATACCTATTTACAGAAATCCTGGTTAACTCATTGTTCGCTTCGGTAGCATACCTTTCAACGCGCTCGGTCAACTAATACAATAAAAGGAGAGATTGTCGCTTTTCGGAAGAAGTAAATGGTGGAAGGGATGATCAGAAATATTTTTGGAAACTGCTAAAATCGCATCGAGCTCAGTCTCTGCAGTGTATCAACAACTANTAATAGGAACTCTTCAGTACATTTTTAGAACTAATTTCACTACTAACATAAAAATTAGCTACAACTAATAAAAGCCTCATATGAATGTATTCAACTTACCTCATTCTGTCTGCCTCCAATATTTTTCTCCAAAGATTTTTTTACTTTCTCCTTCATTGATGATTGATCTTCCTTTTTGAAGTACCTGAAATACAAGGTACCCAAAAGCTAACGTTTGTAGAAATTGGAAGCAAATCTTATAAAAGACTTTTACAAACATTGTTCCTTTGACAAATTTGTAGGGCTTTATACCCTTTGGATTTTCCAAACATTTTGATGCTTTTTCCTCCAAGTCTTCGCTCCATTCCTATGTGTGGAATGAAATAAATTCAATGAATAAATAACATTTAGTTGTACCTGATCATAAATTTACAAGCTCCCCACTAAATTGCTTGTTTAGATGAATGTAAGCTTCTTGCTTGGCGTTCGCAGGTTTCCAAACCACATTTTCTTAAGAAACACTTATTAGGAATTCCATTAAAGCTTTAACAAGACAGTTTGGGCGAGCCAGACACAGATAATGGTCCGGGTATTGTAGTTTCAGAAACTAATTAGCAGTACTTACTGTCATTGGCTTCATTAACAATGAAGATTGCTGAAATCAAGAGTAGAAACAACATTTTGAATAGGATGGATCCACTACGACGATCCCTCATTTTTATATCCAAAAACGATGACCTTTAACTGATCATTCAAAGGAAAATCTAGCTTCTGTTTGTTCTAGAAAACACTTCTCAAACTTTGTTCCGCTCTTTTTATGAACGACATTGAATGATCGGAGCACAATGCTCTCTGATTTCTGAATACTGTATGCATTTTCGCTTTTTGTACTAAGGAGGAAACCGCTATAACTGTGTATTTAATATGGACATGGGATGATTATTGGGCTACAGATGACCACCTTAGAGGAAATTTTGCGAGCATAGCAAGGAAGGTTAAGAACTTAACCTATTCTAGTGTGTTGAGCATTGCAGCATTCCATTGCGACTTTCGAGATCATTTTCGCCTTTTTTCGTAGTTGCCTCTCTATTTTCTGCCCTCAGTGAAAGTCTTTATCTGACTGAAGTCTGACCTTTTCATTTAAGGTTAGGAAAGGCTAAAATTCGAACAATTATTTTTACGAGCGGGCATTGTGTATGCAAGGTGACTACCCACGGTAACGTTCCCCTAACTCCAAATCATCTCCTACGCTTTCTGTCCTCGGTGGGACCTTTGAAGCGTGCTTATAAAGCACAGCCGGCTTTTTCTTCTCCCTAGCGTTGATTCCATAGTCCCTGCTCCTTTATATAAGTCGTCGCCATTTCCTTCTAATTACGACATCTCCTGCAGTCACCTTAGGGCAATGCTATCTTGATTACGTCCTTCTACCACCTCTTTTAAGCCTCTAGTAAATGGCTGGCCAAGCTTTTGTCCTTCTGACGAAGTCTGGCCTACCTGCCTAGAGGGGTTGAAGGTTGGGTTGACTCGAGCGGATATCAACCTGGACCTGTCCTCCATGCGCAACGTGGTCACTATCCATCTTCTGTCCAGCGCAGAACTTTTAGTATAAAATTTCTTCATGGAGAGCTATGGTAAAAAACAATTATTCCGAAATGATCGGGTACGGTAGCTGCTTACAATTATAGGAACGACCGCTCGGTGTACTCCGCCACGAACGCGGTTGAGTTTCTTATGCCGACTTGTTTGAACGGCAAAAATATGAGGTAACTTTCCTTTTGGGATGTTCTTGTCGTTTACTCTGATCAAGGTATGACTTTTCTTTTTCATTCTGTTTGCATGCCCTTAGGGATATTTCTGTCTGTGCTGCAAGCAAATGTAGAATCAGGTGCAAGATACATTCATTAGGCTGTTTATTTATTCTCCCTAGCGAATCTCAAGATCTGAATAAACAATTCTACAAAAACTGGAATAGACGCGATGTACTTCTGCACCTGATTCTACGACTGGAACGATGTTTGAAAGCTTCTCTTCGACGGACGTGCTTGCAGCACTCTTCATATTAGCGTTAGCGCTCAGACACCATTTATAGTAATGGCTTGTTGATCATATTTTTCAGGTGTGACTGGATTCAACTGAGCGGCACTATCTTCCCCATATGGTAGTGATTCAGGGAAGAAACTCGTATAAAACTTTCAAATTATCCCTGCTGAATTGTCAGTCATTACTTTCGCCTGCATCATCCGTCGGTTAGTCATCGACTTCCTCGATCGAACACCAGTAACATCTCCATTCGTCCCTTTCGCGAGTTAGAATGGCTTAGTGAAATGTCCTCGCTCCACGGACACGAGGTTCAACGTTCCGTTCCCAAGAAGTCTGACCATCTCGTTGGCGGCCGTCCTGAAGTTCGTTTGATGTCCCGAGGAGTCCAGTCGTTAACCGTCCTGGTCCAGCGGTCATCAGAATATCGCATAACGTGTCCGGCCCATCCGATCTTCGATTTCTTGGCGTAATCAACGGCATCCCTGATTTTCGTTCGATAACGGAGCTCGGGACTCTAGATTCCCTTCTGCACTTGCGTGTACGGGGGAATTCCGAGCATCGTCCTTTCCAAAGCGCGTTGAGGGACGGTGCCAGCATCTTCATCCTGCATTCGTGGAGTCCTAATCTTCCAGGTGTACGTCAAAGCAGGAAGGACTACAGTATCGAAAAGCTGATTGTGGAGCCGGATGTTCTTTGTCTTCTTCACTACTCCTTCGACGTTTTGAAATTAAATTATTACATGAAATTTATAATGAGCATTTGTATTGTGAAGCACCTTCGAACGAACTGGAACAAGCCGTTCATAGATTTTCCGCTCCAGTGTAATTGGAAATAAAGGTAGCAGAAATATTTATTAAATTTAGCCAAGGGCCAATAACAAAATTGGAAAGACAAGTACCCGAATGATAAATACTATAAACAAGCAGAGTGGTCTAAATGAAGTCAAGGCATATTGCAAACGTTGAGGACAGCTGCCTGAGCGAGTAGACGTCGTAGCAACGAGCCACATGGAGATCGAGGCAGAGTTTGAGCCACGTTCACCTGCACCAGCCTCTTATATCTCACTACACGTTCTGAAATGATAAGGACCCTCGGATGAAGCTAATTCTCTCTGGAAGATATCCAGCTGGAGTTGGTATTGATGTGTGAAAAAGCTCGCAGCGCAGCAATATAGAGATACGAAAAGTTTGCCTAGCGGAACCGTCCGGGTTTGTAGTTAACGCACGGATTTCTGAAACAGAGCACCAAAATGTGGTAGTACCTACCATTTACATAATCCATTATCTGCTTGGTACTGGCTGGTTTAGCTTTGTCCAATACAACGAAAGCCACCGGCCTTAAAATAACAAAACATGCCTTGCCTTGAAACAAAATTGTTGTAGAGCGGTGAGAGACAAAGCCACCCTGATGAATAGACGAATAGATGTAAATAAATAGTTTCAAAGTAACAAAAGAGGTTGGAAATAACAAAGAAAGTTCTTCGCCTACAAGATTCTTCAGTAGTGACCGTCATCGTTCTTCGGACCCATTCCCCCTCTCCCGAACATTTTCAAGAAATTGTTGAAAAATTACCTTTCGCCAGCCTCACGATCTGAAATAGCGACGACAGCTGCTTCTGCGACACCGGGATGAGTGATCAGTAGTGCCTCGAGTTCAGTGGGGATTACCTGTAATTGTAAATGATAGATGAAACCCAGAAGATAGGAGCCCATGTCGCCCGACTGTAATCTCAACAAGTCAATGTCCTCTAATAGGAACCCCAGAAAATCACGGGGAAATCTGGACTACTGCTAAGTTCTCGGTAGATACTTTCAACCTGATAAAAAAATCTCTGAATAGCCAGTCCAGTAGCAACACATCCCGTTCAAATCGAATGACATACTTGCTGAAGTCTTAAAAGCCGATTCACAGCTAAAATACTTTGCTCTCAGACTACTTTACTTTTCTAGCCTTGAATGAGCGATAACTCAAATGGGCGTGCTTTTCTGGTAACTTCGGCAAAATCATCTCAACTACCAATCAAGTGGAACTTCTTGAATCCAGTCGAGTTAGAACATTAGTCCACCACAGACTCAGAAACCTTGTCGGGAGCTAACGAAGGAATCTCTGACCTGATAACCGTGTACTTTTATCATTTCCTTGGATTTGTCAACGAGGTAGATGTTCTCCTCATCATCATAGTAACCGATATCACCTGAATGAAAGCGTTCGTCACTACTAATCAGGCTGCTCTGCCTCTTTGGAAGGGGAAAAAGGTAAGTTAGTCCACCGTCGCGGTGCGAACTACATTCCAGAGAACGGAAGGGTTTGGTGAGACGCAGTAAATTCGTTTTCATTTTTTTCAGAAAGATTCCTTTCGAATTTTTATATGGCTTTCGAAATCCGAGTTAGGAAAGGCGATAGTGATTGGACGAAAGTACTCAAAAGGGTAAGCTATCATGCCAAATCCTGCTGTACCGTTGTCACCTACTTTGCTCCGGTCATTTTTAAATATTCTAG